CCTCGACCAGGCCGAGGTCACCTACCCCTGGCTCCTCCAGTCCGGCGCCAAGTTCGTCGCGAAGCCTGATCAGCTGATCAAGAGGCGAGGCAAGAGCGGTCTTCTGGCCCTCAACAAGACCTGGCCCGAGGCCAAGGCTTGGGTCGCCGAGCGTGCGGGTAAGGAGCAGCAGGTCGAGCACGTCACTGGTGTTCTGCGCCAGTTCCTCGTCGAGCCGTTCGTTCCTCACCCCCAGGACACCGAGTACTACATCAACATCATGAGCGTTCGTGAGGTTAGTCGAGTCTTCGCTCCATTTGGCTCCCCCGCAGGTCGTGCAAGTGATTCAGTGCTGGGTGGGTCCATTGGGTTGTGCATCTAACAACGGATTCCGGGCGTTTCTGAGGCGATACGAGATGTCGAATTCGAATCGGGCATCCAAAAAGTCGTACAAAAGAAAAGGTTGAAAGACATCCGTCTCAGATGGAGCGTCGTGATCTTTTAAATGGCTTGGTCTGGCTGTGTGTGTCGCTGAAAAGTGGACACGCGTCGTTGGGTTGCCCGATACGGGAAGACTCTGCCGAGCCGACGGACGAACGGAAGACACGATAGCTGGCACAACCCATGGCCCGGCAAAACGCACCAACCAACCAACCACGTTGTCATATCTCGTTAGCAGAACCTGTGAATGCTGACTATGATCTACAGGGCGACTGGATTCTCTTCACTCACGAGGGTGGTGTCGATGTTGGTGATGTTGATGAGAAGGCCGAGAAGATCCTCATTCCTGTCGACCTCTCTGAATACCCCTCCAACGAGGAAATCGCCAGCACTCTGCTCAAGAAGGTCCCCAAGGGTGTGCACAACGTCCTTGTCGACTTCATCAGCCGCCTGTACGCTGTCTACGTCGAATGCAACTTCAGTCAGTATGCCCCTTCAACATAAATTTCACATTCCTGTGCTGACCGAATTGCAGCCTATCTCGAGATCAACCCCCTCGTCGTTATCCCTAACGAGGATGCCACTTCCGCTACCGTTCACTTCCTTGATCTTGCTGCCAAGATTGATCAGACTGCCGACTTTGAGTGCGGTGTCAAGTGGGCCATTGCCCGCTCACCGGCTGCTCTGGGCCTCACCAACGTCGCCGGCGGCGAGAAGGTCAACATCGATGCCGGCCCCCCTCTGGACTTCCCTGCTCCCTTCGGCCGTGAGCTGACCAAGGAGGAGGCTTACATCGCCGACCTTGATGCCAAGACGGGTGCTTCCCTTAAGCTCACCGTCCTCAACGCGACGGGCCGTATCTGGACCCTTGTCGCCGGTGGTGGTGCTTCCGTCGTCTACGCTGATGCCATTGCGTCGGCCGGTTTCGCCGACCAGCTCGCCAACTACGGCGAGTACTCCGGTGCCCCTACCGAGTCCCAGACCTACCACTACGCCCGCACCGTCCTCGACCTCATGCTCCGTGCCCCTGTCGCCAAGGAGGGCAAGGTCCTGTTTATCGGTGGTGGTATTGCCAACTTCACCAACGTTGCCAGCACATTCAAGGGTGTCATCCGCGCGCTGCGCGAGTTCGCGACCACCCTGAACGAGCACAACGTCCAGATCTGGGTCCGTCGTGCCGGTCCCAACTACCAAGAGGGTCTCAAGAACATGAAGGCTGCCACCCAGGAGCTCGGCCTGAACGCCAAGATCTTCGGCCCCGAGATGCACGTTTCCGGCATCGTCCCCCTGGCGCTGATCCCTGGCAAGTGGGAGGCCAGCGGCGCCAAGGAGTTTGTTGCTTAAGTGCGCATCGTTATGAAAAAGGGGGGGAATGACTTTAGAGGTGGAGGACAATTAACGCGATCTAGATGAAAAGATGCTGCGTATGAGGATGCCGCGGGAGGGGGAACCCGTCCCGCCTGCGTTTGCGATGAGATGTTGGATTCCCGAAGCGAAATGCGGCGCTTGCAGGGGATGGACCAATGTGTATGTATGTGTAGCAGCGCAAGGTTCGAGAGGCATTTGGCTGCTGATTAGATGGGCAGCCAGAGTGCTTTAATGTGATATTTCCGCTACATCATCGTTTGTGAGGTGTTGTTTCCTTGACTGGAAACGTGGCATGCTAGCGAATCTGGGTAGCTTGGACCTTGTGTTTGGTCGAATAGGCAGGTAGGCATGATCAAACAGTTGTGCCGTCGTATGAGATCAAGCAGAGATGTAAGATTTGGCGACACGAATTGCGAGATATCAAACACCAGAGACAAAGCCTGGCAAGGATCTCAAAGAGCGCACAATCCGGGACTTGACTATGAACGATAGCACATCAAATGTTGGCTTCATATTTTTTGGTATTGGCGGCAGATATCAATAAGCCTCGTTGGCTTAGTGGTAAAGCGCATCACTAGTAATGATGAGATCACTGGTTCGATTCCAGTACGAGGCATATTCTTTTGAATTTTTGGTTGGTCACATACACTTTGAACACATACTTCAATCAATTCAATCGTAGGCTGTTCTTGTCTTTTTGTTTCTGCTCGGGGGGGTTCAGACTGACTGGCTGACACCTTGTAGATGGCCCACATCTCCTGAACGAGCTTCATTCGGCATTTGACCGCAAGTTGCGGCCTAGAGGACCCGTAACACTCGGTCGGGGATGGCTCGTGGGTCATTTGAGAACACCAATTTGTGAATATACTGGAGCTGAAGCACGAGCACGAACGACCATGTACGAAAGCTGCGACCTTTGGAAAACGCTATCCAGGTGTTGTAGATTTAAGACGTCAACCCCTTCCGAAGATAATCACGAGCAGACATTGCTTGTATGGTACAGTCTAACGTAAGTTCATGAGATGTCTATTCCGAGTTATTGTACATCATGGTAGTAGTAGAGCAGAGTGTCAGCGCCGTCAATGTCTTCTGAGCTCTCCTGCGACTCCCCGCCGTCTTCCGCAATATCCCTGAACTCCGTAGGCCTAATAACAAAACTCAGAGTGTTGTACATATATGTGCATCTCCCTCATCTTCCCGGTTAACCATCCCCTCAAGCAGGCCAGCCCTGGTCCAACCCGTCATCACCTCAAGCGCTGTCAATCTCTGCCACCTCGACCCCCGTCGTCCCTCGCCGGAGACGTGGCTTGAAAGGCCGGGCACGGCTCCCCCCTCCCGAGCCCGCCGAGCAGCCAATCCGTCAGCCCGACGACCTTGGCCCCGACCCCCCTCTCCCAGTCGCCGCCGCCCTGCACCGTCTCGATGGTGTGGCTGAGGATCCTGCCCTTCTGGTCAAACTGGAAGATGAAGAGCCCGGAAAAGTGCTGCTCCTTCTTCTCGCCCTTGCCGACCTCGAGCGCGCGCGGGCCCTCGCCCTCGCGCCCCGGCGCGGCACACGTCGACCAGCGCACGACGAGCTGCTCGTCGCGGCCGCCGGGGCGCGGGGGCGCGGCGCCGGGGATGGGCTGGCGCGTCATGCGCGCCGTGTGGACCTCGAGACGAACGTTGCCGATGACGGGGATGCGGTTCCAGGCGATCGGGGAGGTCCAGAGGGCGGCGGTGTAGGCCACGCGACCCGAGACGACGGGGAGGTGCGGGTGCGTCGAGGGGAAGAGGTGGAGGGAGATATTGGGGGCGAGGATGTCTTGGTCGAGGGGGTATTGGAGGAGGGTCGGGAGGCGGTCTTGGAGGATGCGGAGGGCTGTCAAGAGGGTCCATGTTAGCGGTCTGCTGTCAGGGCTTCGTGGACGGGCAATGCGGGAGGAGGGCTGGTGGCTCGACGTTGTCGAAAAGATGGGAGGGGGAGGAGAAGGCGTACTGCGGCCGAGATTCACTCGGTTCTCGTCTGGCGGTTTGCCTTGCGGATCTGGGGGGCCTTCGCCGGGAACGCCATTTGATGGGTCAAAGTAGCGATTGGGCAGGTCAGTTTCGCGTCTCATATGTGGTGTGCTCGCGAGCTGGTGAAGCTGCGGCGTCGCAGGTGCCGAGCCTGGAGCTGAAGCCGAAGCTGTCGTGGGAGAGCGGGCAGTGCTAAGATGTGTGATGGCGCGGAGCTGCTGCTGCGAGGGTGACCGACACAGCCTGCAGCACCTGTGAGCTGTCGCTATTGCGAGGCGCGTGCTGGCCATGGCGGTTGGGTGGTGGTAGGCATCGACAGGAGAGTGTCTTGTGGGAGGCGCCTGTGTGTGGGTTGAACGGAGAGGAGGGAAGCTCGAGAAGAATGATGTCAGAAAATTGTTTGCTGGGATGCACTATCGCGGGTGGGGCCGGATGCCGGCGCGAGACGGGCAAGAAATCGAACCATCGTGTCTCTCTGCCGGGAATGGGGAACGGGAAAATAGTTGCTACGCGCCCCTGTAGTGACTTTCATTAATAGTATTTTCGTCTTACCTACCGTCATAATCGAAGGAATAAAGCGTGCCGTCCATAGTCGCGCAAACGTCAGGTCATGGTACACTGCATATCATCAAGTGACCCTTCTCGTGTGTACCTCTTGGCATGTTATTTCTCCTTTGAAATTCATTTATGTACATCATTCCTTCGGATGCGGGAACTCATCCTCCATCTGTAACCTCACACCGACATTCATACTGATCAGTTCTTGCACCAGTAGCTTCGCGGCATACGGCATCGTCATCTTGGTCACCTCCTTGGTGCTCCTGCACGTGTGGCAGTAGCCCTTATAACCAAAGAGGCCACACTGCTGGCAAATGTCGATCTCTGTGCCGTCCGAGCTGATCATCAGACGCTCCAACAGCAATTGCGAGGCGCCGTAGGCAATCAGACAGTCACGCTCCATCTCGCCCAGACGCAGACCACCCTCGCGCGAACGACCCTCCGTCGGTTGTCTCGTGAGGATGGCACGAGGTCCCCGCGCACGAGAGTGCATCTTGTCCTGGACCATGTGCTTGAGACGCTGGTAGTAGATGGGGCCGTTGAAAATGTAGGCCTCTAGCGGTTCACCTGTGATGCCAGACGTGAAATAGTCTTTACCCTCCCATGAGAAACCGTGGTCGACGAGAGCCTCGCTCATCTGCTTGAGAGGATGCGAGCGGAAGGCGTCGCCGAAACCGTAGTCCGGACGACCGTCCAAGACCGACGCCTTGCCTGTGAGGCACTCGAGCAGCTTTCCGACCGTCATTCGAGAGGGAAAACCGTGAGGGTTCATGATAATATCAGGGACCAGGCCCTTGTCAGAGAACGGTAGGTCCTCTTGCTCCACGATAATGCCAACAACACCTTTCTGTCCGTGGCGTGACGAGAACTTGTCACCCAACTCCGGCCTTCTCGTCTGTCGCGTCTGCACCTTGATGACCATGTTGTCCTTTTCGCTCTGAGAGATCATCACCTTGTCGATGTATGCCGGATCAGGAATGCGGTATGATATTGACGAGTCGCGGAACTCGCTAGGGCCGCGGTCGTTACCGATACCAGTCGACCCGGTGTCCAGAGGGGTCTCCTTCTTCACCATGGCCTCGCCAAGCCCTGACCTGGCCACCGACCATGGCCAAGCCATCAGGATCCAGAGCTGCGTGTTTGGCAATGCGCCGTCTAGGCTTGCCCTCCATTTCCTCGTACTGCGGGTCTCCGATGCGTTCTCGTTTACCGTTCGGGTACTTTTGCAGCTCAGCCGAGTACTTTCGGAACACCTGACAGCGTCCAAAGCCACGGTCGCACGAGGCCTTGTTGAGTACCAGGGCATCCTCGATATCGTAGCCAGAGTAAGACATGACAACGACTGTGGCGTTCTGTCCGGCTGGTAGCTTGTCGTAGTGGATGAGCTGGATCGTCTTGGAGATGACCATCGGCCGTTGCGGGTATACGAGGGTGTAGAGCAATGTGTCGATGCGGTTGAATTGGTTGTAGGCAATCGCACCAATAGCTTGCTTGCCCATTGCACACTGGTAGGTGTTACGGGGTGACTGGTTGTGGTGCGGGAAGGGAATGAGGCCTGCTACGGCCCCAAGAATTGTGAAGGGTTCGATTTCCATGTGCGTGGTGCTTTGGTTGACGTCGGTTTCGTACAGAGCCACAAGCGTATCGTTCTCCTCGTTGACATCCAAATACTCGACGACACCATTCGTCAAGAAGTCATCGAAAGTGGCTTTGCCGAGCTGGAGAAGCTTCAGGTGCTCCGCCTTCAGCTTCGGCTTGCCGTTCTTGACAATAATGTAGGGCCGACAGATTCGTCCTTCGTCAGTAGCAATATGAACAGCGTTGAAGTGGTTGTTAATATGAACGCCGACAAAGGGCGAGATCCAGCCACGGCGACGCATCGTTCTGAAGCGGTTCGTGAACCTTTTCGGGAATTTGGTAAGCGCAAACGGCGTGCCGTTGATGTGGATGATATACGATCCCTCGCGATGCATCTCACTTCCGGAGAAGTTCCTGATGGGTTCGACATTGTCGTCCACGGTAAAAACCCAACGCTTGACAGGTTCCTCCTCGGCGTTGGTGGTAATATGCGTCATGAGAGCCAGGTTCTTGACCAGACCGCAAGCCTCACCTTCGGGTGTATCCGAGGGACACAACATACCCCACTGTGAGGGCTGCAGCGCACGCGGTCCACTGACCTTTCGCGTCTTCTCAAACTGACTGCTGATGCGCGTCATCATACCCAGGGCACTGATATAGCTCAGACGACTCAGGACGTGAGTGACGCCGGCTCGGTTCATGTTGAATCGCTTCACTGTCCAGTTGCCCGTCTGGATCGCTCGGTTGATTCCCTGACCAATGTTGTTGGCGTGGTTGCTGATCATGGTAACAGCGTCCATGGCCACGGCGCGGTTGTCTTTCTTAAGTACCTTGTCGATGCTGGCCTTGACGTCGCCGCAAAACTTTTTGAACAAATCCTCGAAAAGGAGAGAGAGCAGCTGTCCAGCAAGCTCGAGTCGCTTGTTTCCGACGAAATCCCTGTCATCCACGAGGCTCATGTTGGCTTGGGCCATGAGAACACGGCGCGTCATGAAAGCAACGTAGATGGCCTTCGGGTAGAAGTCGAGGCCCTCGACAGGTATGTGGGCAATAATAAGGTTGGATAGCGCATCCATACCCTCCTCGATGTTGTTCTTCCGCGCCTGCGAGTTGGGTTGAAACCTGCCCCTGCCGCCCATCTTGACGCGCGATCCAATCCACTCCAGGGCCTGCTGCTGGGTATAGACACCCTGCTTTGTCGCCTCGTCAAAGTTGACGGTGAACTCATCCTGGTATCTTCCGTCATCACCAGCAACGAGCTGCATAATCTCGAGGTCAGACAGGCCACCCAGAGCTTTGAGAACGATGACAATGGGCGCGGGTTCCACGAGGACGTTGTGGACGAGGGAGATGCGATCTTTCTTCAGCGTGATATTGGTCTTGGTCTTGCGCTCGTGAGTAGAACTGGTCACAGAGGCGGTGATGATGTTGTTCTTTTCATCAGCCTCGACAATGACACGGTTCTTGCTCAGCTGCTCCTGAATCAGGATGACCTTCTCCGTGCCGTTGATGATAAAATAGCCGCCGGGGTCGAGAGGACACTCGTTCATGAGAGCCATCTCCTTGTTCGAAGCACCGTTGAGACGGCACTTGGCTGACTTGAGCATGACGGGTAGCCGTCCAAGGGGAACATTTCTGCGGACGATCTTGGACTTGTCGCGAATGTAGGCAATGTCAACAAAGATGGGAGCGCCATAAGTCATGTCGCGCAGACGACATTCCATGGGAGTGACCTCACTGTGTGCACGCGCATCGTTGAAGTCAAGACGGCTTGGGCTCTCGACCCGGATGTCCGTGAACCTAGAATTCTCATAAGTATATGAAAACGATTCATAACCATGAATGTGGTTCGTGGTCCACCTACTCAAGCCAGAAGGAGCTGTTCACATCGCTTCGGATGGTGCGGTTCGCGCGCACAATGTCCTTGATCTCATGGTCGACGAAGAAGTTGTAGGAGTCAATGTGTTGCTTCACCAGGCCCTTGACTTTGAGAAAGGCGGGCAGCAGTTGAAATTTGTCTTCCTGGGTTGAGATGGGATCCGTGAGCTTCTTGCCGTTGTAGAAGGGCTCCAGCAGGGCCTCGAAGCCGTCGTCGAGGTACGGCATCTTGAGATCACCTGCGTCTCTGAAGTCTCATGATCAGTCCGTGTGTACTCGGGTATATGCCGACAAGAAAGGCAGGCTGTTGCAAAGTGGTGTGTCCGACCAAACGCGACGAGGTGCAGGATGACTGGCATGAGAATTGACTTTGATGAGTCCAGGTGCAGTGCGTGCCGCGACAGTGCAAGAAAATCTTCCTCGGAGTTGACGGGTGGTGGCAGTTGCCCCGCGCTGCAGGTACGTTGTCTTGTGGTGGTCGGTGACGAGGGGCTTTGCGATAAGAGCGATAAGAATGCACCCTGGTTGCGGATGTTTGGGTCAAAAGCTTGTCCGAATTGACCTCACAGCTTCCCAATAGAGGCGACCACCGGGTCAAATGTCTCTGGTGCTGGGCAGGAGGAAACAATCGAAGAGTATCTGTTCAGAGAGTATCTGTTCAGGGGGTAACAAATATTATATACAACCCGTTATTTGATAATATACTACCAGATCTGCCTACGTTGTACAACAACATCACCAAGATTAGCACGCAAACGTTCCGTGTAGCCTCAGCTCTTTCAGCACTTTTTCAGATGAAGCACTAGAGTAAAGCTGCCTCTCATTTGGCATCACGCTACTAAGCATGACCATTTTCCGGTGCATGGATGTCAGATAGCGCACTGGAAGCCGTGTAGCAGATACGCGACGGCTCGTCAGGAAGCATGGCTGCTGTGATCAATGCAAGTTGAAAAATGCCCAAAGTAGGGGCTATCACCTTCAACGCCTTCGCAGCCTTGGGGCTGAAGCATGAGCATATCCCGGAATAGCCCCATATTGGGTGGCGCATTCCTTGGCTCTTCAATGACGCATACTGGACAAGGTGCCTAGGGTACTGGTAGTTGATGTACGCCAAAATTCGGATGACATGTCAGCTATCGACAACACAAGTCTTGGGATATCGGCATAGTTGGCCTACGCCCTCCCATGAAAGCAAGGCAAGCATATCCCGGCCCGGGATGCAGACTGAATCCTCATCTCGTGCTACGAGCGGGTGTACCTGAGAGCGACCTGCAGACGGCGAGACAACATACGCAACACGAGTCCGATTGGCGATGATAGGTAGGGGCATATCCTGTTTCACTGAAGAGCCGAAGAGATATCTTGTTAGATCAGTGATGGTATCTCCGTATTTCTGAGAGGTGGTAAGATCAATGTTGGTAATGGCTGGGGCAAGTTTAGAGGTGATTTATTTGCGCCATCCCAGCTGGTCTCACGCTTCACGTTGAACAAGCTCTCCCCCTGCCGCAGGAGTATCCGGAGTCTACGGGTCAAGCGCTTCCGAATCTTTACACGATGTGACTTGGTGGTTCATGCTGTGGTACGCTGGATCCACGTCATAAAGGCACATATCTCGTTGATGGCCGTTCCAAGCTATCTCCAAGGAAGGCACGGTCGAGCTACCTCCAGGGAAGGCACGGTCGAGCAAGTCTGACCTGTGTTGCATTCGTATCGTCATCCCATGAGCTTGACCTTATCTTGAATACCTTGCCTTGTACTTAGATTACTGGCGACCTAGGCGATAAGATATCAGTGGCGGCCGATCCGTTGTGCTCATGGGTATCTACCTCCCGTCATTTGGTGAGTGGCAAGCCCTCTAGACGAAAACTCACAGCCTTTGCATCGACGAAACCGTTCGCGATTAGTTCGTCCGATCGTAGAAGGACAATGCCAAGGTACCTTTGCTAGATACCTACCCAAGGTAAGGTACCTAGGTAGGTATGGAAAGAACCTTATCCCCTTGGTGCCTTCTTCGCGTGGCCTCCTACCCGAGATCAGATGTCAAGTGGCACCTTCCACGATAGACCACTGTGACGTACCCTTAAGCACCCCACCATGTTCTTCTCCAGCTTCAGCAGGAAACATTGCCTGCTTCATTGCCTGCTTGTTAACCCGTGTCAGACCAAATAATTGTGCCCTGAACACGAGGGCTCTGCGCGACTTGAAAATTGCGCGCCTTCACCCCACCTAATGCGCAACATGCATCTCACTACGGGCCTCGAAGGCAATGCTTGGACAACCCCTCCTCGCCCCTCTCTTGGCTTGTCGTTACACTCCCCCATCGTTCCCCGCATGGGCTGCAGCAAGATGTGATGCAGGCGCAAGCGCAGGAGGCGCTGCATGCTGCGCTGGCAGGACCGCTATGACGAGCTGCATCACCGTGTCCCGAGCCGTCCTCTGCCGCATTCTTCTTAGTCGAGACACCTGACCACGCAGGGCCAGATCCAACATCGGAGCTGCAGGCCCAGCTTCGTGGGTGGTTGCTGCGAAAGCCTGGGGACCATCGCCTCCCGCAGACCTAGGCGTGATATACAGGATCTTCCCGGCGGCATGATGCGTCAATCAGCAATGACGGGCAATTCCCTAATACGGCAGCTTGGATGCCGCACTGTCAACTCGAGAAACTCGACCAGCATCTAAAGCACGAGCCTCACGACTTGCCGAGGATTGCTGGCCTCACACGGGTTTTGAGGTGGCGAGCAGCACGCTTGCTGATCAGCGAGCCGATATTGCCTCGACTCAAATACATGGCATTGCTGGAACGGGTCGATGACGATCAGCCACCCACAAAATAGATGGACCCCTCATTCACTCACACCTCGCACGACGAAGTGGCGTTTGCCGTACACATACGACTGTTAACGACCGCCTGTGTCCCTCTCAGAATCCGGTGAACGAGAACTTGAACGGCATGCAAATGAAAGCCTGCCTGCCGAATTGCTCCCTCCCCACTGCTAGCATCAGCCGGCGTCTGCGACAAGAGCCACTCGATGCGGGCCCTAAAAGTCGGTGAAGCGCATTGAGCGATGGAGTGGCTTTCCAGGGCTAGTACTGTAAGGCTAAGTATGTTGGCGTGGGATCCGACCTGCTAGTCAAACTTGCCCGCCGCTTTGACGGGTGGGCGTCTACACAGATTTTCACCCCATTGGGTTCCTTTGTATGGCGGTGGACGACATCTCGGTGTGGAGACGAGATGGGACGAAAAAGGGAGGCTGGCAAGGAGGGAGAGGCTGGAGCGGTTTCGAACCCCAGTCTGGGCTCCAGGCAGGTCTGCCATGCAGGACAGTCACGAAGACGAGAGAGATGCGACCGTGCCAGGCAACGATGACAGAGCTGACTTGCAGCAACGTGCACTAGCACGCGTGTAAGTGCAGTGGTCTCTTGCGATCTGTGGATTGAATGCCTCCAAGACGAGGCCGCTACGTGAAGGTGCCTGCCCAAAACCACCGAAGACGAACGAGATGGCACTGCAACAACCACCATTGATATTTGGCAACTATTGCCTCGCTCGAGACGGAAGAGCGAACAGATCCTCCAAAGACAACAAATGCCGCCCGTTGCGCGATGCGAGAAGGGTGGGACTCGGAAGCAAGGCCTGTCCTGGTTTTCGTCGCCGAGCGGGATATTGAACCCCCACTTTGATGGTCTCTTACTTCTTCCACGAGAGACGTTGGCAAGCCTTTAGGACTTAGGTAGGTCTCACGCAGCCCATGACGGCTCATCCTGCTCCAGCGAACATCTCAAAGCCTGTATTTGCAATCCGCGGTCGACGCAATGTCGACGCTCCTATTCAGAAGCTGACAGTGACGGGAAGCGTCACGATCGCACAAATGCACGAGTTTCGCGGCCCGACCAAGACGATGTCGAATGTGGGCCATCGAGCCACGCCGAGCCATACGTGGCTCATGTTGCCTTTGGAGGGGTTGACAGACTGAGGGATTGAGGGGCAAGTTGACGAACTTTCCCCATCTCTTCGAAGCAATCGTATCCAATCAAGGCTCCTATCAAATCGGCTGGCGAGTATGACCTTAAACCGAGCTGTGGCCAGGACGTTCCCGACCTTCAGCTCGACAGTCGTGGCAAACTTCTAGGGCTCCTGGGCTTGAAAATGAGCAAGATCCTCGGAGCCACCAATTTTAGACCTGCCTGATCCATCAATAGCTGGAGACTGTTCGCCATCAACGCTTGAACAGCCGCCATGGCTCATGCGATCACCGTTGGCACGGACTATTGTATACACTCCTCCCAAAACGGACTTTTGACAGGTGGAACGCGAACACAGCACGGACGTGGCTTAGATCTCTCATCGCGTGAGATTGGGCCAGCGGCCTCAATGCAAGATCTGGCGTCTGTCGGTGAAAGGCTGCTGCTCACCGTTCCCTCGCAACGAAGCAAAAAAGCACCGACACAATGGTACTGGCACTGACTGAGTGCCATGACTGTAGCCACACACCGCCAAGGCTGGGTGGGTGGACCCGGCCTCCTGCGATGCTGCAGAACGGGGAGCGGGGGCGAATCGCGGGCTTCGTCATGGTTGAGAAAAGGCAAAGAATGAACCCTAATAAGGACCTGGTCTGCGATGTAGCAGTTCTGGGCCACAATCAAGGTGGCCTCAAGTGGCGGCTGGCCACTATGGTTGAGGCGTTCAATGCCACGAAGTCAAACGGCCAACTCATTTGTGGGAGTCATCAGTAGCGTAGCGGAACACCTTTTCTCCCGCGCTTGTTGAACTTCGGTCGTCCGAAGTCCTCACCGCTGACGAACACCTGGGAAGTCCTTGGACACACGGTCATGTGGCAGGAGGAAGGACGCAATGGCTGGCTACGCGGACCGACTTGCGAAAAAAGGGGTACCTTTCCCCAAATCAGACGACAGGCGGAACAGGCTGTAGCTAAGCGCCCCCTGACAGTAAGTGGCATGGAGGGGAGTGCTAGGCCCGACCGTTCATGATGTGCTGCTCTAGTGTGCCGAGCCCTCCCTGGACACAACGCCTTGGTCAGACACACGCTGGTGGAGGGAACGAGGCGCTGCTGCTCCCTGCCCTGGTCCACTTGGTGACTCTGTTGCCTATGGTGCTCGACTCAATGATGTGAGTTCTCAGTAGAGGACCATCATCATGAGAAACTTACGATTCAAGCCTGGGGAACACCGATCAGTCGGTTTTCACTACGAACGGTGACCGCGCGGTG